CTCTACTAATGGATACACAGGCATAAGAAAAATAAAATCAAGTTCATCTTGCATGGAGTTTGTGATTAGATTAGTTGAATTGTTGTGAATTATCAGATAGTTACATAATGTTATTTCTTTTATTATTACATTTTTTTTAACATAACTCTTTCCTATATACCTTTCATAATTTATTTTATACGTTTATATTATATTAATACGTTTATATTATTATTACGCAGCCAAATTTTCCGTTTTAAATTAGACGTCTTAGTCTTGTCCAGGGCCGGCGCCTACAGGTAATTAAAGTAAATGTAAGTCGTAAGAACAGTGTCGTTAGAGGCTCTTCTAAAAGTTCTCCTAATTAGGGCCTCATTTTATTTAAAAAAACTTAATTTTTTAGGTAATACAAAAAGCGTCTTATATTTTGAAAAGGGTCCCGTTAAATTAGGGGCCCATGCCCATAAATTAGGAGTGTATGGTACCGCGTAAGAATAATTAGCAGGTAGAACAAAATTTCATCAATTTCTAACATGTCGTTTTTGAAAAATGTATTTAATGTTTAATATATATGATGTAAAAACATATTTTTGAATTTTACTAAAAACCAAAGTTATTTTGTTCTATCTCCAAAAGAGGGTGCGAAAAAAAGGGCGTTAGCGTAATTTTAAAAAGTTTTTTTTATCTAAAAATTAATAATAAAACATTTTTAAATCTTAGGAAATACCTAATTTCTCAAAATATTTTTTCAATTTAGCTGCGAACAAATTCAAACTTTGACATCGATTTTCTCAGTTTGCAAAAACATGGAGATAGCACAAGATAATTCTAACGTCGCGACTTGCTGATCGATAAAGTTTAGCTCTTCTGAGCATTTCTCTCCCCCACCAGTTTTGTCCATACTAAATATGATTTGTGCTGCTTTGCCTTTGCACAGCAGCACGAATCATATTTGTCTGGTTTCTGATAAGACAACTTCTTTTTGCATTGATGAACACAGCGATCTGAACCAATAAGGAAAACTTAATCCGCAATTTTACTCCATGCATCATCTTTTCTAAGTTTTGAGCTGAAAACAATGTTTATGTAACTTTAAAATTATAAGCTTTAAAAGCTTTAGTATTAATATTATAAAATCTTAATAAAAAATATCTTTATTACAAGGAGAAAATTTTCCATCAAGCAATTGCTTTTTCTCATTGTACAGCTTAATCAAAAAAGCTAACTGTTCATTCATCCAATTTTCAGCTCTTTTTTTGAATCTTTATTGCTTTCTGACACTAGAATAATAAGTTTTGTCAAAATATAAGCAGCAACATATTTACCATATTGCTATACTAAAATAACGTAATAGAACTCTATACATAAATATATAATATAGATATATTTATATATCGTATTGCATATATTTTATATACATAAAAACAAAAAACCTACTTCTAAATAGTGATTTATTTATCTAAATAGTGAGTTATTTGTGTTACTTGAACTCGAACTTGATTGTGTCATCTATTTTGTGATAATTCCAACATATTATATAGTGATTTGTGTAGACATAAATTAATTTATACATTTATGTCTTTAAAATTGTTTCCTTACTACCTCATTCTTTTAGTAATTAGTAGATAATATTAATTACTCAAGAAACTCTTGAGTTGCTTAGCAAACATTCGGTCTAATAACGTTTTTAATACGTCTTTTAAACGTATTAGACGTTTTTATACGCTTTTTTAGACCAAATGTTTGCTAGGTATCATTAGAGTGATCTATGATAAAATGAAAGTTTTCTAATTTTTTTAATGAAAAAATAGTGAAATAAATAAATACAAACACGAAAATTAACATTAATAGTAGTAGAACTATTAATAGTAGTAGAACTATTCTCTTTATATCAAATTATTGTAAAATATTAGCGTAAGTTTTTGCGTAAGTTTTTGCGTAAGATTTTGCGTAAGTTTTTGCGTAAGTTTAGCGTAACTCATGCGCAACTTTAACTTTACGCAAATGCTGCGCAAAAGTTGTGAATACCAAATAGTTACGCATAATTGAAATAAATTGCGTAAATTTTTCGTAATTTTTGCTCAGCTACGCAAGAGTTACGTAAAAGTTGTGAATCCGCACCCAGTTCTTAACTGTGGCATGATAAAAATATTCAATTACGTTTTATGAATCAAATGCGTATAATTAACTAAGTACGCGGCATAATAAATATATTTAATTACGTTTTATGAAACAAATACGTATAATTAACTAAGTACCAAGCAGTTGTATAATCCCAACGTTATTGGGATTATACAACTGCTGAAATTTTTAAAGCTATAGCTATATTGGAGAGCAGTAAAAAATTAGTTGCAAAATTTTGTAGCAAAAAACTGGGCACGTACGACCCTTCAGAGTCTTCACTTCTGAAAACAATTTTAACATAGAAGCTCACCAGAACTATATAACTGCTAAAGGTTTCAGAGCTGTAGCTAGTCTAAAAGGTTGTTAGTGATAAATTAATTGCAAGATTCAGTAAGAACTGACAATAGCTAAACAACACTTTAATTTCAATTAAATCTTGTAATGGAACCAAATATTTTATTAAGTTTTTATATATGAGAATATAAATAGTAAACCTCCATTTCTTCTAAGCGAAAGGCAATAAACAACCAAAAGTTGGAAGTAAACCAAAGTTGGTATTTGATAGATATAAATATATATAAACACTGGCATACAGATATGTTGAGGAGGGAGCGTTGCCCTTTCCCTCAAAATGAACTCAAAGTTTGAAAGGGCCACCGAGAGCTTTTATGTTTTTAATTTTAGTTTACTAAAAGATCGTTTAACTTCTGCAACAGATACTGGCATTGTATTAAAAATTCGAATTAAGATGCATACATATGTGAAAATAGGCTGCAGACACTTTGAATTTATTTGGTTAAGAAGGCTCAATGAGTTTCTAGAAATAAAAAACAAAGACTTCTTCAAACAATTAAAATACAAAATTTTTTGTATGAAGTTGTCGTCTTAGACATCATTAACGTAGAACTGTGCTTCTCAAGATTTGTTCTCTTGAGAATCTGTTTCCTGGTATTTCAGCCAGATGAAATCTTGAAGAAACACTCTTTACTATGTCAAATCTTGACAGAATTTGATAAATAAAATGGTCAAAAGCAACGTTGAAGATGTTTCCCTCAAATTGATACTCGGGGCTCTGATAGCAGAAAGCTGCATTTTCAAGTTCATTATGATACCGTTTCACTCTCTTCTTTCGTTTTGCCAAAAATTCCATTTCAAAGGCTAGAGGACCTGCAACAGCTTTCGCTTCAGTTAAAATATTATTTCATGATGAACGGATGCCAAGATCGCTTATTAATTGTTGAATTAGAACAACTTCGTCATCTATTGTTAGTGAAGTTGACTGGAACAAACAGCTAACTTCATCTACTACTTAAAGAACTTTATACCAAAAGGCAGTGGCGTAACTAGGGGGAGCAAAACCCCGCAAGGCTGGGGGGGCCGGAGCTTAGAGATTTACAAATATTACTCATATGAATAATGTGACTGGTAATAATAATATGAGTGTTACTAATTTCTGTTTTATCAAATACATTTTATGAATTTATGATTTTTCACGTATCCCTACGGTCATTTTTGAAGAAAAAATTGAGAAAAAATTTAAGGAGGGCCCCTTTCCCATTTTTTGGCGGGGGGGGGGAGGGCAAATTTATAGTTACGCCACTGCCAAAAGGTCAGAAGCACAACAGTCTCAATGGATTTAAAAAACTTTATCAAAAACATACCTTGATTTAGCATTTACTTATTTATATCTTTTAACCTTGTTTTACTTTTGCTTTTTTTTAACTTTGATATATTTAAAATTATTTTTTAACTAATTAATTCTTTTTTTTTTTTCTTTTTTCTTTTCACCTTTAAATAAGCAGATTTTTCATTTGAGATGCAATTGCATAGAGTGACATTGAAATATGCATGTTAATACTTTCGTGAGATTATATGCCAAAATGTAATATGTCGTCATATAATGCATATATACAAAAATAGTTCTCTCTAAATGAACACTCTCTGCACTAAACATAACAATACGTAAACATGAAAGCCGCCATTGTAAATTAATTAAACTTCTAATTTATTTAATGAAATTGTGCTATAAAAACATCATATAAAATCGCAAAACATTAAAATTAAAAGTTTAACATTGTATAGACAGTTTAAAAAAATTTTTTAATCATTTTTCGACGCCCGGGGCACGTATACCTCCTTTGCCTTCCCCCTCTCGGTGACCTTGCAAACATGTATTAGTTTTATATTCTTTATTATATAAAAACAATGCTGTCCGAAAAAACATAAACATTAAAAAAGACAACCAAGAAAAAAAAAAAAAATTTCGAGTGAAAATGTTTTAGTTTGCAGACTCAAACATTTTTTGGAAAAGCTTCTTATTAAGAATACTTTTCGTTAGCTTGGTTTATAATAAAACATCCTAGTGGGAAAAAAGACGTCTAAAAGACGTCTTTAACAGTCTTATTTACGATGTTTTTAAGACGTCTTTTTTTAATCGATAATGAAAATCTAAAAGACATCTTTTTTCGACATCGAAAAGACGTCTTTTTTATCTTAATCTTGTCATTAAAAGATATAAAAAATGCGTCTTTAAGACGTCTTTTTTTATTCAAATATGCAAATTTAAAAGACATCTTTTTTCGACATCGAAAAGGCGTCTTTTTTGTCATGAAAAGACATAAAAAATGCGTCCTTAAGACGTCGGAACGACTTTTTTGTCATACTTATAAGTATACTATAGTATCCTATACATTATAGTATTCTTACTTTTCTTATATTAAAAGCTTTTTTTATCAAATGAAAATGATAATAGCTCTTCATACAAAAAGTTCCGATACAGAGAAAAAACCTCTTTTTGATATCAATATAAAAGAGAAAGAATTTTCTACATCTTTATATAATTTATAAATAAAACAACAGTATTGTTCAACAGAGTATTTTTTCATCTTTCCCTTTCTTTTCTGTTTCTTGGTGTTGTTGAATAAAATTAACTAATTCACGTCGAGAACTCTTTTCATACGAGCTGGTTACGACTTCTTAAAAACGAGTGAAAATAAAAAACAGTCTATTGCTTGAATGTAATACAAAAAAAAAAAAAAAAAAAAAAACGAAACTTGATAAGCTGAGTGGACTTACCAAAATTCAAAAAGAGCTGATTCTTTTAACCCCCTCATGTTCTCCTTTCGGTCCTTTCTTTTTGAATCCACTAGGTTAGATTGGGACAGAAGTCTCACGGTAGTCTAAAAATATATAAAAATGAGCGTGCTAAAGAAATTTACAACCATCAAAATGACTGTACAACGATGTATTTTTTTATATAGTACTTAAACCAAGCTAAACATTTGATTTGGATAAAATTATTAATCAAAGCTCTATTTTAGCATGAAATGTAATGATGCTTTACTTAACAACATAAAACCTTAAAAACTGGTGATATAAAAGACAACAGTTAACAACAGGAAATAACAACTTAAACATAAAAGTTAAAGAGCTAATTTTTTGCATAAGCAATTTCATCATTCAACTAAATAAAAACAACAAAATTATTCAGATCATTTAAAAATATATAAAAAAAAAAATTGCAAGCTTACTGAATGCTTCTTCTTTTCTATCGTTCGTTTCACTGGCACTTGAACAAGTAAATATAGAAAGAAATTGTTTGCAGGTTTTATTTTTTGTCTGAAAATAAATATTTTAATTTAATATCTAATAAACAACGTTCTTGAAGCACAACACATTAAAAAATTAGTCCAAAAATAAACGGTTAAACTTTTTTAAAACACTTACCTGCGACTAACTTAATTGAGACTAGATCATATCGATACCATCTTACTGGTACCACGCCATCCACTTTATATATATATATATATATATATATATACATATATATATATATATATATATATATATATATATATATATATATATATATATATATATATATATATATATATATATATATATATATATATATATATATATATATAATATATATATATATATATATATATATATATATATATATATATATATATATATATATATATATATATATATATATATATATATATATATATATAATATATATATATATAATATATATATATATATGTATATATATATATATATATATATATATATATATATATATAATATATATATATAATATATATATATATATATATATATATGTATATATATATATATATATATATATATATAATATATATATATATATATATATATATATATATATATATATAATATATATATATATATATATATATATAGACTATAATATATATAAGCATATATATTATATGTATGCTTATACATATATATATATATATATATATATATATATATATTACATAAAATAAATATTATGTATATTTTACATAATATTTATTTTATATTAACTTTATTACATAAATTATAAAATAAACCCGCTTACCAAAAATAGTTGATTTTTAATTAAATTTTCTATGCAGAATCGTTTCATATGAAAAACGTTTTATAAAAGTATTTTGTAAACAAAAAACTGGCCAATCAGAACCTAACAAAAATATCGTAATTACGATATTGTGGGTTAAAACCCATCTTTGTTAGGTTCTGTTGGCAATAATTATTTTCAATTTTTTTAAGCAAATAATAATTTCCTTATAAACAACGAAAGTTGTTAATAAGCAAAATAATTTATTATAATTATAATAAGCAAATTATGATTTACTTATTAACAACTTAAGTTGTTTCCCAGTGGGAAACGTTAGTGAATTTTCCCCTCCGCCTCCCTAAAGAAATAAAATTTCTATTGGGTGTTGTTTAATTTAACATTTAATTAAAAATTTTCTCATTTCTTTTTTTTAAAGGTCATCGATATAAAAGACGTCTTTTCTACGTCTTATTAAAACGTACAACCGATTGACGTATTTTCGACCTCTTTTTCGAAGACTCGAAGAAAGAATTCGTTTCTACGTCTTTATTTAGGCTGATTATAAAAAGGCAAAACAAGTCATAAAAAAGACGTCTTTTATTCGTCTAAAGATATCTTTTTTGCCCACTGGGGTGTTGCCTTTTTCATTAAATTGTAGAATTAGAATTATACTTTCGAATTGCAATGAGTGCAATCTATTAATATTTTAAATAAGGCTATTTAAAATTAATTTACAACCGAATTATTCATATATAACAGCAGAAAATTATCATGAGTCAAAATTTTTTTATAATAAATAAATTTTTTACATTTCACTCGTTTCTAAAGTTTAATATAGGTTACAAACACGAACATTGGAAAGTATGGCAAGGTAAAGACCTCTAAGCCTTCAGTGAGTTTCCGCATTTTTTATTTATATTCAATTTCTATCATAATTACATAATCTTCAATTTAATGTAAAAATTTTAATCTAATAAAGAACAAAAAAAAAAAAAACTTTTCCCTCGTTGAGCGAAATAGACAAACACGAACGTTTTTAACAACATCCCGTGAAATTAAAAATATTCAAAAATTTTAACTTTAAATTTTTACAAGTGCAATATAATTTAAGAGGAGCTAATTTAATAGGATTCATTCAAAAATTTAAAGTTTTTTATTTGAAATCTGGCAAAATATAAGTTCAACATATGGTTTTTTTTAAAAAGCTTTTGAGAGTCGCGTATTATACGGAGCTGTCTTTAAGTACATTACGAAGTCCTGAGAGAGAAAATACTGAATTGTATCAAAACAGGAAAATATTTTTCTTTGAACTGCCACATAATTAAAGGCCCTTCAAAAGAAATTTTGTCTTCTTGCATTTAATGGGCTAGATGTGTTCGAGAATCACAAGTTTTTACATGTGATTCGCGAACTGAGTAGGTAAATTTATATTATCTCGAACTGAGTAGGTAAAATTATATGATCTTTGGGTATAATCTTTGGGTATAATAATTGGGTATAAAGTTAAAGTATTTCTGAAGCATCTACGAAAAGTTTTGTCGGAGAAACAAAAATAAATTAAAAAAATTAATTGATTCTTTTTGTAAATATTTAACATATCAAGAATAAAATCATAAATAATCGAAAAGTATCAAGAAAGAATTTTTTTTTTATTGTAAATAAAGAACTCAATCTTTATTTACAATAAAAAAATAAGTAAGTAAAGAACTCAATCTGAAAAAAAAGTATTAATATGTATATATATACATATATATATATATATATATATATATATATATATATATATATATATATATATATATATATATATATATATATATATATATATATATATGTATAGATATATATATATACATATATATATATATATATATATATATATATATATATATATATATATATATATATATATATATATATATATATATATATATATATATATATATATATGTATGTAAATATATATATATATATATTTATATTATCTTGTGAAATAAAAATAATTATTAAAAACATAGAAATGCTCTAATAAAGTAATCCTTAAAATTGGGTTTATTAAAATTTATTAACATACAACATTACCAATATTTTTATTAACATACAATATTAACAAAATTTTTTAGAAATTTTCATTTTAATGTCATGTTGTGATAAGGAGTCGTCCATAAACAACGTCACGCAATTTTTGACCAATTTTGACCTCTCCTCACCCCTCAACACAAAATTGTAACACTTAAGTATATAGTTTTGCATTAGTCGTCACCAAACCGCCTCCCCCTATAGCGTGACGTAATTTATGGACAAGCCCTAATATAAATGCTATAAGCAAAAAGCAAAAAAAAAAAAAAAAAAACTGCAAAGTTTAAGAAAATGTCTCTTGTTATGATATTAGAGTTTGATTAGGCTAGTTTCGCTAGTCTTTTCTCTTTTTTACTAAAATTAAGTAAGTAGATATGTCTATTTAGCTAAATTTTATTGTTTACAATATAATAAATACAAATATTTTTTCTCTAATTCATATATTGAACCAATAGGCCACACTCTTCCTGTCACTTCAACGATACAAGTCAGCTCTAATTAGGAGGCAATTTTTTGCAAGGCGTTCTTATTTGACATAAGTACAAACATTTAAATCTTTAGAGTTTGCTCCATGTTTGAAGGTTAGCTACCTCAAAGACCAATTTATGCTGGATCTGCCCCTGATTTTAACAGATTTTTGTTCATATCGTTTAACTGCTGACTTGTTAACCGTTATTACAAAAAGGTTTTGCCGTACATTAGATGAAATCTAGCTTGTGTTGACAATTTTCTTATTACTGATTTTGTTCTCTACCTCTATATATATCATATTCGTTCTGGTATTGAAAACTGTTGTTATAATTTTTAATTAATTTTCTGCTAACTCCCAACGTAATTAGTGTTTGTGTATTTAAAGTTTATAACGTAATTAATGTTTGAACTAAGGATTGCAGCCTTGTTGGAGTTCAACGTTTTTAAAAAAAAAAAAATTCGACAAGAAAAATGAATAATTTAATTTTAAATAATAATAATTAAATAAATTTAATTAATAAAAATTTAATAACAACCTTGAATTCGACATACTCTTTGCTGATAACCGCATAGCATATATGTTATTTGAATGTGCTGTTATTGAAAATTTTAGTTATAACTTTAAATTTTCTGCTAACTCCCAACATAATTAAAGTTTGAACTAAAGATTGCAGCTTTGTTGGAGTTTAATTAAAAAAAAATTTAGACAATTAAAATGAATAATAACAACCTTGTGTTCGATATATATGCTTTGCTAACCGCATAGCATATATGTCATTTGAATGCCGAAGTTGCGTCATAGTTAGAGCCATAAACTAAATAGAAAGCAACACGAGCATGTTCAATTAAACACATACGAGCATGTTTAATTAAACACATACGAGCATGTTCAATTAAACACAGTGCTTTTTATTAAATATTAAGTTTTAATAAAAATTAAATTTATCAGTAAAAATTGTTATTTTTTGTAACACATTTTTATTTACTTTTGTAAGTTAATATTTCAAAGTATAAAATTCAGATATGTAGTTTAAAAATATAGTTAATTTCCTTTATTTAAAAGGTTTTCTTCTCACAAATAATCTGCCACTATTAGTTGCCAACTTGCATTCAACTTTTAGATGCTGTTTTATCTAACTATTGTCTTATTTTCAGAATCAGCATTGTCGAATTGATAATTTAAATTTTGAATTTTTTTTCAAGTATGTACCACCTTAAAAGACTACTTAGGGTTGGCATATTTGTTAGAATACTTAGGGCTGAAATAATTCCGAAATATTGTTAGGAAAATTTGGTAAAATAATATGAACTGACTGTTTCAAATAGTGTTTCGCGCGATGTTTCATTTTCTACAAGATTTGAATATAATACATGAAACTATGTTTTCTACAAATTTTAAAAATCTTACAAAGAAATCATACTGTAAATAATAAATTATAAAAAAATTCCATTTCTTGTTTTTCTAAAACTTACTAAAAAACCGTGCAAAAAAAACAACAACAAAAAAACATTACTAAGAAATCGTACAAAAAAAACCTTACTTAAAAATTGTACAAAAATAAAGTTAAATCGTACAAAAAAAAAAAAAAAAAAAAAACTTAGAGTTTTTTTAAAACGTCTTACTATACTGATTAAGATACCTTTAATAAGATTCACAAAAATTGTTATTCTGGGTGATTTGATGACACAAAAGAGAAAAATAAATTTTCTCATCTAAGACTCGCTTAACCAATCAATTTTCTCATCTAAGACTCGCTATCAATTTTAATTTAAATTTTAGTATAAAAATCTGAATATAATAAAAAATAGAAAATAAATTTTAATAAAATTTGATTTTAATTCTAATCATTTTTACACATTATAAAATTATTATTTATTATAATAATTCATTACATAATTTAACATACTTACAATATTTTAGAAAAATACTAATCTTAAAAATTTAACTTAGAAAACTACATCAACTACGGTTTGGAGACTAAGTTGGCTCTCTTTCCTAATTGGTTAAGGGCTACTATATACTTCGGCATTTCTTCGTTTGTTTGAAATTTTTTTCGAAAAACCAAACATGCTACTCTTAAAGGAGCCGTACCAAAATGCGCAATAACTTGGCCAGAAATTCTACCAAAACCGGGTAAAGAGACATCTTTTACGTTAGCATAGCAACTGGATAAAACGCCATCTACAATAATGTTTCCACTCATAGTTAAAGGAGCGTAAAACCCAACTAAAAACAAAACTTAAAAAAGTTGACTTAATTAAGTAAAAAAGTATTAAAATTTAAACTATGTTTGTTTTATAAAAAGAATTAAAAAGTTTTATAAAAGTTTCGAAAGATTGCGATAATGGTTGATCCACCAACCACGATTAATCCACCAACCACGATATTGGTTGGTTCATCAACCAAAATATTGATTGGCCGATCAATCGTGATACCGGTTAGAATTGAACTCTCTCAACACATTAAAGTTTTATCTTTTTTAATATTTATTTTATTGCAAAGTATTTTATCATACGGATTTTAAATATCACCAGGAAGTTTTACTTAGAAAAAACAACAAAAAAAAAAAGCATGACTGTGTAACAATAAAGTAGGACTAGTAACAATAAACAATAGTCTCTTTATATATAACAATATAGAGCATTAGTAAATTTTGGACTTTCGAAAATCTAAAATGAGGTGCAATTAAATACATTATTGTAAATACGTTACATTGTAAATACAACCATGTATTTAATCAAATAAATGATTAAGTAGGGTAACCTGGGGCAAAGCGAGACATTTTCAGGGAGAATGTTCATAACTTGAGAAGTATCACGTTTCACAACAAGAAATTTTGCAAGCCACTAGCACATTATGTGTCTAATGATCTCTTAAATATTTGTGGTGATAGGTTGCTGCATTGGTACATAATTAAACTCAAAATGGCAACAACTACCCTGTCTCACTTTACCCAAAACCTGGGGCAAAATGAGACAGATTTTATTTGAAGAAAAAACTAAGTAAAAACATAATTTTCAATAAAAATTAAAGCAGACTTTGATAAATTCGATCTGATAAAATATAAGAACGCAAATAAAAACACAAAGATATCATTTTATAATGTAATTTTTCCTTTTAAATCAAAAAACATGATAGGAAAAAATATCAATCAAAAACATGAAATAACAAAAAATATATAAAATGATTAAAATCAAAAATTATATCTATAAAAAAAATGCATATGCAAAGTTTCATGTTAGCCAACAAATTTGAATAAAATCTTTACACTTAAAAAGCAAACATTGATTAATGTATAGTCTTCGTATACCCCAACAGTACATACGCAACAAGCTATCCAGTCGATTTGGGTATTATTGCATCATTTCCCTTGACAAACTGGACAAACTATTCCGCTTCATTGTTTACATCTTTTTCAATCAAGCATTTCATTAGTTTTCTTTTCCGTTTTTTTTTTTATTTTTCTCCAATTTAATTTATTGTCATTTTTATTTTCCAGTAATTTTTTTTTCTTATTGTTTTTTCTTATTGTTCTTTTTTTTTTCCTATTGCTTTTTTCTCATTGTTCTTTTTATAAAATGATGATAGCAAGTTAAACTTGCCAAGTTTATAAACTTGCTATCGTAAACGTTTACTTTGACGATTTATTAAGTTTATAAACTTGCTTTCCTTAACGTTTACTTTGACGATCTTTTTCAGTAACTAGCGTTGTCGCACTTTCCCAGTAAATGTGAAGTTATAAATTTCTTAAATATCTTTGAAACAACCTGACATAAAAATAAGAATAGGAGATGATAACAAATGATTACAAACTTAATAATATGTTTGTTCTGTGGTAAAAAATGGCAGCGTACGTAGATTTTTTAAACAAAAAAAAATAAAAATAAAATAAATTTCGATTTTTTAATCAAATTGACGCAACTCAAAAGCTTTAAACCCACTTTTCTATGTCATATTATATCACTTTTCTATAAAACAATCTGACATAAAAAGAAGAATGATGATGTCATATTATATCACTTTTCTATGAAACAATCTGACATAAAAAGAAGAATGATGATGTCATATTATATCACTTTTCTATGAAACAATCTGACATAAAAAGAAGAATGATGATGTCATATTATAGGAAAAAACTGATGGAAACTACTTTAAAAGATTTAAAAAAAAAGAAACTTTTAATATAATAAACCAAAATCACTGTAGGATTTCAAAAAAAATCTGTGCAATGCTAGAAAGCCTAAATGTCTCACTTTGCCCCGGTGTCTCGCTTTCTTCCAGGTTACCCTACATTATTGATATTTTAAATACTTTTTTCTACCAATAAATGTAACTTTATGTAAATAAAATATAAATTAAAATAAAATAAAGTTATGTAAATAAAAAGTAAATGTAAATTTAAAATACGTAAAAACAATACAATATAATACTTTTATCTGAAAAGCTATATTTTTATAATCTAGCATCTTAAAAATGTAAAAATAAATTTTATCGAATCCGAAAACAACCTTGATCAAAATCAATCTTTTGTGTCAAAAGAAATTTTTTTACATTTGTGTTTGATCTCAAAAGACCTTTTAACAGTACCGACATAAAATTTATGCGCATGCAGAAATGGAAGTAAAAACGTATTCTCGAGTCCTTATAACAAGAGAAGAGTGGGGTAGGTGGGGAAGGAGGAGATGGGAGGGGGGGGGGAGAGGAAGGGGTCGGGTGGGAATTTCATTCCAGATCTAATAAAGGGAAAGGAAGGAGGGGGGGGGGGTTAATAAAAGGTTGGATGGGAATTTTTTTATGTTACAATATAAGTATTTTTTATAAAAAATTTCAGTTTATAAATCAAAACTAATATTTTTTTACAAAACACGCATAAAACTATTTAAATCTATGACTTGCGCATTTGAAAATGTACTGCCTTTCAGACTAGCAACAGCTCTGAAACTTTCAGCGCTTGTATAGTCCTGGTGAGCTTCTATGTTAAAGATTTGCTTTGTTTCTAGGGGCGAAGACTCGGGGAAGGGTCGTATTTTACTTGCCCCCTTTTTGGTATAAAATCTTGCAGTTAATTTTTTGCTACCCTCCAAAATAGGTTGAATATTGAAACTTTCAGCAGTTGTATAGTTCCAATAACGTTGGGATGTTGCATATTAAAGCATTTTCCAGGGCCAACAATACAAGGGGAAATAAGTGCCCTTCCGACCTTTCCACCCTAACTTTTTTTGTTTTTTTATAAGGAAAATTATTTCAGAAAAAATCTTTGAAAAGGATGTCTTTAAAACTTTTTAAATAAACTTGTTGTCATAAAGGTAATAAAAGTGAAAGCTCATATAATAGAGCACCTCAAAAATAAAAAAAATGAAACTGACTAAACATAAAATATTTTATTTAAAAACAAGTGAAAGCTATTTTTAAGCATTTTAATATATAATTAAGTTTTAATATTCATTAATTTAAAACAGGTTAATTTTTGATTTCAACAAAGACATTGTTTTCAGATTACGCAATTGCATTCGTATGTTAACATTGTTCAAGTTATCTTCATCATTTAGTTCTTATTCATAAAATGACATTTAAAAAGTATATTTTATGAAAGTCTTGGTTTATTTATAAAAGCTTACAACTGAAACTTATCAATATCATATAAGTATTTTAGTTACTTAGTTAATTATACGTATTTGATTCATAAAAGAAAATTAAACTATGCTACGTTTTTCGTAAGTTTTTTTTCCGTTAAGAACTGTTTCCTAAATTTCGGTGCAAAATAGTTTCGTTTTGAAAGAAATTTGGCTTTTTACCATTATTTAAAAAAAACAACCTTAAAATGTTACTATGATAAAATACTGAAAACAAAATTATATTATAAACATTTTGATATATAAAAATTTTATTTTTTACAATTACATTTGTTTGGCCAACAAACTTTTATTATAATTTCGAAACCTTGCACTTGTATAACAAAATCGCTCAAAAGTCAAAAAAAAAAGTCAGCATAAAAATCCTATTAACCTTATAATTTTATAATTTTCAAGCTAGATAATTGCTCCATTAGATTACAATATAAAAAAAATTCTCTTCGCTTTTTCCCTTTGTCACATTTTCATTCAAAACGTGGCGTTGTTGCTTGAATTTTTTTCTATAAAAAAAATTCGAAAATTTGTGACATTTTAAATTTCTGTTGTTGTTATGCATAATATAAAGCGCTTTTGCGATGGCCTATTTGAGTTTTAATTTTGACATAAACTTATAAGTCAATGTTTTTGTTGACAAGTATGGTCTTGTTGAGTTAAAAGTTTTTTATTAGCAATAAATATAGGCTGTTAACAACCAGATGCTTTTCTAAAATTATCAGCCAATGTCCGCCACCTTTTGTTTTAACGCTTTGAAAATAGTGTGTAAACCATTACGTAATATACACAATCTTGTAAAAAGTACTAAAACAGCAAAATAAATTCTTGAGGCCCAATTTTCAAAATGTTTTATACAAACTTAACTAAACTACGTAAACAAATCTTAAATAGATAATATATTAAACTATTAAACTATAAAATCTCAAACAAATGTTTTATTTGTCAATCGTTATGAAAACCTTTACCTTTAAAGAAAAAGGACTGTTCCCTCGAAGAGAGTTATATGAAAAAATGAAAAATTATAAAGGTAAAAATTTTGAAGAAAAGTTTTCTCGTTGGAAGAATAACTTTTAACAGTTATGAAATATCTGAGAAATCAAAAAAGCGCCATAAAAAAGTTTTAAAAATTTTTTAAGAGCGATTTCAAGAAAAGATGGATAGCTACACTTTATAAACACAAAAGTTTTATAAAAAACAATAAACCATGGCTCAAATCAAACATCCAATTACTTAATAGGTCAATAAATGTTCGACAAAATCACCTCTTCTCCAAGCTTCTGCAGGCCCATTCGAATACACTTCATTAATGAATCAAAAGATATAACAATGGATGAGGTAGAACACTTAAAAACCAAATAATGAATCGTAGAGAAACAAAGAAGCCCAACCAAATTGGAAAAATAAAACATACCTTGCTTTTACAATGGTGTGCAACGCTGCAACTGATACTACATCTACTATGAGGTGCTACATTTGTGGACAAAAATAAAAAGATTTTAATAAATTTATTAAAGAGCAGATCAAAACTCTCATGTGGACTTTCGATTCTTCATGCAAGGATCCGCTTCTTTCAATTGCTTCTTCATTTAGTTTATAAAA